ACCTTAATCTCAACCTGTTGGCTTCTTGGCTCCGGGGTTTAATTGGAGGAATTTCCAGACTAGTTAGAGCTATAGGACTTGAGGCCACCAGCCCTGCAGAGTCTTACGCAAAACACCTCTTCATCTTCGTCTTCAAAAAAAAAAAAAGGGGGGGGGGGGGGGCTTTGAACAAGAGTTTTCTTATCGTATACAAGCCAAAATATTTTAATCAACGCACTATAGTGGTTTCATACGAGTATATTTACGCAGAGTTTCAATCACGGTGGTCGGAACAATTGTTCAGGCGGGTTCAGGCAGTACTCGGCGGCGGCGTTGTCGCGCCCCCCACGCGGTAGAAAAACTACCATTGCTTGTACATCGAAAACAAAGGCCGTAAGATATATGGGCCGCCTAGCCCGGCTGTGGCCAGTCCCGCTACGAAAACAAGCACCCGCACGGTGCTTCCGAAGGCACGTACTTGCGACAGTTGGTTGTTTCAAACTAGGTCGGTTGAGGGGATAATTCTCTAAAGTCTAAACAACTCGGTGAACGCAGAACCGATTCGTGATTCATAAAAATACACGAGCTTGTATTTTTCAACGAGCTAAGCTCTTTGAGCATGCCGCAAATGCCGGCAGCCATGTTTATTATCGTTTGAAACCAAAGCGGTAAAGATAATCTCGGGATATTTTCGAAAACCATAATGACTCAATCTAGATATTTTGTTTCTTAAACATAAAATATATTGTCGATAGAAATATTATCGCGGACGGGAGAAAATTTTACAGCTAATATTTCACACGTGAATCATCTCTCCAACTTGCTGAGCACCTTTCGTTGTGGACGGGCCCTACACAATAAAAAATGTCTGTGCATCTTCTTTCCCACACAACACTCGGAGAGCCAATCACCGCCACTTACGGAGGCAGCTCATCGAATGACAATGCCGAAACGTATGCTTAGACCAAAAAATCGCAGTCCGAGTTGTGACATTAAGCAATGCAAGCGTGACGTTTTGCATTGCTTAATGTCACAACTCAGACTGCGTTTTTTGGTCTAAACATATGTTTCGGCATCGTCATTCGATGAGCTGCCTTGGTAAGTTGCGGTGATTGGCTCTCCGAGTGCTTTGCGGAAAAGTAGACCCACGGGCTTCTTATTTTTAGAATGTAAAACAGGGCTATCCCCCCCCCCCCCCCCCCCCCCCCTTCCTAAATCACGTCTAACGGCGAATATTAATTTTCTTTTTCGTGAAAAAATATGACACGAAATTTGTGTGCCACACCTACGCCTTTAATAAAATGTTGCTTTTCCATTTCGTTGTTTTGTAAACGTCCTATTCTAATTATGATAGTAAGCTAATAGCAAACCAAGTTACTTTTTTTTTTCACTGTGCATATCTATACGCATGTCAGGAAGAAGAGATAAAGCAATACGGCGAGCAAGTGTCCCAAAATGCGTCTTCGGCGCATCGGCAAGCAAGAACCCCGCCAATCAAAGGCCAACAACGATAACGCGCGCACGGGAGGCACGATGACGAGACGACCAAACGCGCGCCGTCATTGGTTGAGGTGCGGGGTAAACCAACGCACGACGTGCGCAAGCAGCGGACGAACTTGCAACGCCGTAAAAAATTCCAACTTACATTTGCTGCACATCGACGTGATCGTGTCTCGTCGGAATCGTTCAAAAAGACTCGCCATCTGTCTCCACAACGCTCGAGTGTTTATTGTATTAACCTTCCTTTCAACAATAATGCTTTAAACAGCGGTGCAGGTACGTAGATAGATAAATTTCGTTACCAAACAGTATAGGGTTCCGTGTTTTCGTATAAATCCGAAAAACTCCGAAAAACACCCGCCGGTAAAATTTTGGTCAATTCGCATTTGTCCGATAAACTCCGAATTTTAATGTTCCATTTTTTTTTTTTTTGGGGGGGGGGGGGGGGGGGGAGGGGGCAAAAAAAAAAACAACAACAGAAATGAAGACGGTATTTTACAATGAAGTTCGATCAGCGCCCAGGGTCAATGGTCCCGGGAAAATGCCACCACAGTTATCTTTCAAATTTCAGATCATCGACAAAAGGGGTGTTACCGCTTATCTCGTCAAGGTTCAGGACGACATGTCATTGTACTTTAGGGTCACAAGAAAAGCCTCTGTATTGGTTTCCAGTTCGGGCCATATTATTTGTGTTTTAAGAAGAAGGAGAGGTTGTGTTTTTGCAACAGTGAAAGCTATGGACCATAGTGATTGCATAAAACTCGGAAGAGGGGGCCGTTACCACTCCACTTTGCGCGGCCGCGGGGTACCATGCAGTGTGGCCAGATTGGGCTATATATAGCCAAATTGGGTTACATTTGTTTTTCTAGTTGGCGTCAAAATTTCGTTGTTGGCTATGTGGCTATTTTGGGCAATTTCTAAAGATTCTGCGAACTTTTGTCGAAACCTCAGATTCGACGTCAAACTTTGAGGTTCGACTAGTCAATTTTCGAACTTCTTATCGGCTTCAAAGAAAATTCTTTCGGTTGAGAAAAGTTTCAAACTTCAACAAACTTCGGCGTTTTCACAATGCGCAGAGAAACAATGCTTGCAGAGTTCAAGCGGTCTAGCCACAGCGCAATGGAGCAACCCAAACAGATTGCACTATTACCACAGACGCGGTTGCGCGTCTTTTACCCGAACCTAGACTGAACTCTCCAAACGCCGCTTTGGTGCCCATGGTGAGAATCCTTAGGCACCCAAGTTCCTAAAAATGAGAAGTCTGCAGCTTCACCGCTAAACAATTGACTACCTTCCAGTCGTCGCCCACCCCAAGAAAGGACAGTGAACCGGAATGGGGGACACTCATATTCTACACAAATAAAAAGAGACGGGTGGGATATTGGTAAGGACCGTAGACATTGGGGTTATGGTTTGAAACTCTCAGTGTTCTTACTGTTCTGCTTCTGTATTCTGTTCTTTTACTCTATTTTCATATATCCCGGGCTTCACAATAAAGCTGTCTTTGTATGTCTTGTATTTCCGAAAACCTACGAAGGAAGGGTCATTGCCTGCACGGATTTTCATTTTTCCGAAACATAATTTTGAAAAATTCACAAGTGACAGAATGTACACGAAATGGGGAGCATATGGGGGTTGAAAAAGTGAATGCAACGTGTTTTGTATGTGTGTGAAAAATGGTGAATAAAAGCATTAAAAATAATTGTTTTTAGCCTTGGCTATTTTGGCTATATTTTTTACGGCTTTGGCTATATTTGGGCTATACTTCCCAGCCGTTTGGCGTTTTTTTGCTGGGCCATCTGGAAACACTGGTAGCATGGAATAGGATGGGATGAATACTTGCTTCCCAGCGACTACCTCCAGGAGTTTATTTTTAAGGCATCGACGTTTATCGAAGCCGCACTTGTGCACCCTAAAAAATGCCCGTGCAACCGCTTTCCCGCAAAGCACTCCTAGAGCCAATCACGGCAACTTACGAAGGCAGCTCGGCGAATGACGATGGCGAAACATATGTATAGACCAAAAAACGCAGTCTGAGTTGTGACATTAAACAATGCAAGCGTGACGTTTAGCATTGCTTAATGTCACAACTCAGACTGCGTTTTTTGGTCTAAACATATGTTTCGGCATTGTCATTTGCTGAGCTGCCTTCGTAAGTCGCCGTGATTGGCTCCCCGAGTGTTGTGCGGGAAAGTGGACGCGCGGGCTTTTTTTAGAGTGTGTGCCACTTTTGCCACGGGACAAATTAGTATTGCCAATGGCAATGGCACCAACACTAAATCCAGCTGAACAAATATTAATCATATAAGTGCGTTTTATTTAGCGAGTATACATACACACATGGATATTTTATTTTATTTATTTTCCATGGGAAACACTGCGAAATTAAGCTCGGAATTTCGGAGATTTTTGAATCAAACAAAAATAAACTCCTCCGAAAACACGGAATCCTACCAATCAGTAACGGAGTTAGCGTTATTATACGCAAGTTTGCACGAGTTCGGGAAGCGAGAAGTAACGTGCACCTTCGAGTTTTTTTTAATATAAATTATGATAGCCAGCAACTTCACAAACGTAGGGCGTGGTCATTCCTCAGCATCTCATTATCATTGCTTAACCAATCAGGGTGGGACATTAGCAGATAAGAACGCCGAAGGACCAATCACGAAGAGAGAATATAATAAACCATGTCGCGCCTTTCTTAAAGGGGCACTGACACCCCAAAGGTCGTATTTATTTTTATTGTCTAAAACGATGCAAGTTGCAGTCATAGACACGCAAAAAAAACCGCATCGCGAAAAAAAAATTTTTCGCGCGCGCGCGCGCCTTTTTATTTTTGGCGTTTGATTTTCCCGCCTCTCGCCTCCTCGCTTCTTTTGATCGGTGACGTCAAGAATCATGAACTTTAGAAGCTTTGTAGGCGACATCTCTATAACATTTATTAACGGCAATCCTAGAACATGTTTTTTAACGGAATTGCGAACGCACTACGGCCCTTCTTTTTGAAATACCAAAAATCGGGAGTTCGTTGTGGTGCCGTCTCCTGGATTTGTATCCTCCAACGGAAAACAGGCGACACCGCTCAAAACCGGTCCGCCGGCGTTCGCTTGCGCTCGCTCCTTTCCTCCTCGCTTTGGGTCGCCATGGCAACAGCAGGGGGTGGTGAAAGAAAGGGGACTCTCAGGTCTGCGCAATTTTTGACGTCAAGGCACCGGCGCCGATCGCGCGGGAACTTCGAATACGGCATTTGGAAATTGTTTTTTTACTTCACAAATACTGAATTCCAAAATTTCAAATTTTGAGGGTAATGTCCCGGCATCGTTTTCAATCGTTTCGGATAATAAAAAAAAAATATGATTTTGATGTGTCAGTGCCCCTTTAAGCTATATCAGCGACTCTACCGCTTTCTCGATATATCACATGGGACAAGTGACTGTTTTAACGATCAAGTACGACAACAGAAGTGTGCAAAGACGAGGAGAAATGAGCAGCAAAGCGTCAAGAAGTGTCGTGTAACTCACCTTGTCGTCGGCGCAGCATATCTTGACGCCAGAGGCAGTCACCAGGAACAAGACGGACCGCTTGGAAGGCTCGCACTGCAAGAAAAAAACAAAAAGAAACGGCGAAGACTGTTAGGCAATTAACGAAGTTGCGGAGGCGCATCTAATGTGTGTATTGTCACTTCGCAACTTGCGAAAAAAAAATACCACAAGAAGGCCGCAAAAAACGGATTACAAAGCAAGATGGCTGATCATGATAGGTGGTCTATCATGACCAGGCATCTTGCTTAGCGTTATAACTACTCAGAGCTTAAGAAACGCCTTGCGTTTTCTCAAGCTGTCAGCGGTTATAACCGTTTTTGAATTGTAATGACGTAACTAAGTTCTGGAAAATCTAAAAAAAGGAAAAGAAAGGGAATGGGTCGTTTCCAGCCCTAAAAGGCCGCGGCCATTCTGCTCCTATGTCGTACAAAAGACCCGCAGGGTCCGCTGCAGACACGATTGACAGAAGTATGTGCGGCCTCAAGTATGTTCGAAGAGCATGTTTGCTTCACACATATGCATGCTTCCAACATGCGTCTGTTTCTTTAATGCTAAAGCATTAACTGGGGGTCCCATGGAGCGAGCCGACGTCATCAGCTTTGAAGCCGCACCAAACGGGACCTAAACTCCTATCTCCAAACGAAGCCGCGATCTGATGGCTCCCAGCTTTGAAGCCGCGCGAAAAGCCTAGCGGAACGGCACCTTGTTTCCTCGCTCACAATGGAGCGCAGTGAAGCCGAAATCTGATGGGTTTCGGCTTCGGTCTCATTGGCTGGCGCGCGTCTTTCAAGGAACGAGGCTCCCATTGGCCGCTGCACGTTAGTTTCAACGACCGCCACCTCATGGCGCTGCGTGTCCGTGCCGCCAGCGCGCCGCTAGCACGAAGCGTCTGGCGGCCGAACGAGGCAGCGGCTCCACGCCCAAGGGCAGAGCAGCGAGCAGCGCGCGCGCTCGGACGTCGACGCAAGTACGCCGCAGACGAAATAAGGGAGCCGAAAAGCACGCTTTCGTATCCACAACTCATAAGAAGTGCTTAGGTGTACCCCGAGCCTTTTTTTTCTTCTACAATATCTGCAGACAGTTTTTTGCACGATGTATTAGCGGTCCGACCGCGGCTTAAACGAGAGTAATGGTAATTAGGGAGGTCTTTCGATGGAGCCATTGCAATCCCCAGCGGTACGGCTGTGCTGCACCATGCCACTTATTATACGCCTTAATTCGCACCACGCGAGCTGTGAGCTATATGAGGGAGGACCTATGATTTCCTTTTAGTACTGTAAATGAAAAGGAATGCTGCAATTGTTTTTTTAGATACATATACATATCTTAATTTCTACAGTACAAAAGAAAAAAAAGATTACATGAAAAAGCAAAATGAGTTCATCTTCACGGCTGGGATCTGGGGATCTACACACACACGCACACGCACACGCACACACATACAAAAAAAAACTGTCGAAGACACCGTCAGGATAAACGGCAGGTGCGCTTCATTTATAATTAATTCACAAGGGTCATGCACCACTTTCCGAGCACAAAAAAAAACAACAAAAAAAGCCACTGTTGCTACACTCTGACTCCCTCCCGTTAGTTAACGAGGCGACAGACCCGAACCCCTCATCGTCGCTTATTGCTCGTCGCGTGGTCATTTCACCCGGCGTGACACACCCCAACCGTCCCCGCGTTCTCTCTCCTGCGTCGCGCAACACGAAAACCCCATTAGAAAGAGGCTGCCACCTTCTTCGCGATTCCTGAAAGCAGTTCCTTCCAGGTCGGGCGTCCCCGACGCAAAGTCAGTGTCCTCGTCACCGTGCCGTTCGCGACACGTCAGCTACTTCGAGACAGCCTGTTTCTTTTTTATTTTTTCGACGAGACTTCCACTGCCAGTCAAAACTGCTGACATCTTCCGGGTCGACGGCGTCGCGGCGTAGGAAAGAGGCGGATCGGTGACTCGTTTATATAAAAGCACCCACCACTGTCACCGTGACAGATTTCCGGAGTGCACTATTTCGAGAGCCGTTTCTTATCGGTTCTCTGGCGTTTGGCGAGTGCCCAAAAAGGAAACTCGTGCCAAAGACCAACGCATTTTTGTCGGGTTTCTCGGGGATAATAATAAGAAATATATATTCAAGGTGACTACGCCGTTGTGATTAGGGATCCGTGCTCTCGTTATATGCCGATAAACCTCGAAAAGTAACAATTGAGCCGGCTTGCTTTGAGCTCAGGGAAAACCAAAATCCTGGTCGTCATGGATCGAGCGCTTAGGTTTCTACTTCGTGGCAAATTCAATCACCAACGTAGAAAAGAAGAGAGCACTGCTGCTTACGCTTTGTGGCCCGGAGACTTACGACATCGTCCGAGCTTTGGTAGCTCCTAGAACACCTGCCACTGTCGGCTTCGAGGAACTTGTGTCCATCCTTGGAGCACATTTTGACCCTCAGGCCTCGAAGCTCTACAGCCGGTTCAAGTTCCAGCGCAGGGACCAGCTAGCCGACGAGTCGATAAATGACTATGTCGCGGCCCTGAAGCAATTGGCAGTAGATTGCAACTTCAGTCTACCGACTACCTCAACAACAGCTGTTGCAACGACGTCATCGCAGCATCCACCGGCAGCTCTGACCTATGCTGCCGAGACTACTACTGGGACACCAGCAACGCCACGGCAGGACACCAGACTGGCCTTGAACAGCATGCTGCGCGACAGATTTGTCTGCGGCATACGCGACGAGCTACTGCAGCAACGCCTGTTCGCAGAACAAGAACTGACATTCTCTGCAGCTTTGGACATTGCAGTAAGAGCTGAGAGCGCGTCTAAGCAACAGAAAGAAATCAAAAGCAAAGTTGAGCCTCAAGTCAACAAAACCGAAAAGAAAAACAAGGATTCCTCGACACAGCAGGGACGCCGTTGCTACCGCTGTACAGGACAACATGATCCGCAGGAGTGTCGTTTCAAAAACACGGACTGCAGGTACTGCAACAAGCGCGGACATATTGAAAAGGCTTGCATCGCTAAGAAAAAGCAACAAGGAAGCAAGACACGCAAGAAAGCCAACCACATGATGGCAGCGTCAGAGGAAACGAGCGGGGCAGCAACCAGCCCTGGATGCTCATTTTATGAGCTTAACAAGCTGGCGACGACTGCAGACGTCCCCAAGTTACAGGTTACACTTCGAATTGATGGCAAGTCGCTCGTATTCGAAGTGGGTTCGGGTGCTGCCTGCTCATTGATCAGCGAGGAAACCTTCCGCAACACATGGCCCCGGAATCCGCCGAAGCTTACGCACGACAACACAGAATTGCACACTTGGAGCGGAGAAGGACTAAAACTCCTTGGACGTTTCCAAGCTGCCGTCAGATTCAAGTCTAAGGACTTTGTGCTACCGCTTCTGGTAATGAAGGGATCCGGCTGCAACCTCTTGGGGCGCGATTGGTTCCAAGCTCTCCACATCAGAGTACGGAGAATAAACCAATTGCAACAGCGGAACACGCCACCACAAGTACAGGCGGTTTTGCAAAGCCATTCCGCAGTATTCCAAGAGGACATTTCGGGATACGCTGGACCACTGGTGCAGTTGGAATTGGAGGAAGGAGCGACCCCAAGTTCGGCAAGGCTCGCCGAGTGCCCCTTGCACTGCGACCAGCAGTCACCCAGAAGCTCTCCCGACTGGAAGGACAAGGAATAATCGAACCAGTACAGCATTCAGACTGGGCCACTCCTCTTGTCCTTGTCTGTAAAAAGAGTGGTGAAATCAGACTCTGTGGCGATTACAGAAGTACAGTCAATGCCGCTTCAAAAAAGGCGTCCTACCCGCTACCAACTACAGGAGAAGTCCTAGCGAACCTAAGAGGAGGGACCGTATTCTCGACGTTGGACATGTGCCAAGCCTACCAGCAGTTAAAAGTGTCCGAAGCCGCCGCGGCGGTTCTGACCATCAATACCATAAAAGGCTTGTGCAAAGTAAAACGCTTGCCTTTTGGAATATCAGCAGCGCCAGCTATCTTCTAGCGTACAATGGAAACGACGTTAGCTGGCATACCGGGAGTAAGCGTCTACCTGGACGTTATTATCGTGAGTGGACAGAACAGCGAAGAACATGCAGCACGTCTAGACCAAGTACTGTCGCAACTGGAAAACGCAGGTCTGCGGCTCAAGAGAGAAAAATGTCACTTCGCAGTGAGCGAAGCCAAGTTCCTTGGGCACAAGATTGACGCCGCGGGAGTACATACTACGGATGAAAAAGTGCAGGCCATCTTGGACGCACCAGAGCAGACTGGAAAAACGGAACTGCAAGCGTTTCTGGGCTTGCTGGCTTTCTACGATCGTTTCCTTAAGAATAGAGCCACAACTGAAGCTGATCTTTATGAACTTCTACAGAAAAATGTTTCTTGGGAATGGAAAGGCAAGCACCAGGAGGCTTTCCGGAAACTAAAGCGGCTGGTCAAGAAGTCCACAGTTTTGGCGCACTACGATGAAAACAAGCCGTTGCTGCTCTCGTGTGACGCATCGCCGTATGGTGTGGGAGCAGTACTTGCACAGGAAGATGACTTGAAACGTGAAGCCCCAGTTGCCTTCGCGTCAAGAACATTGGGTGCTGCAGAAAAGAATTATTCCCAGCTAGACAAAGAAGGGTTGGCCATTGTGTACGCCGTGCAACACTTTCACGAGTACATTGCTGGGCGGCACGTCACAATTTATACAGATCACCAACCGCTTCTGGGAATTCTCGGGTCGACAAAACCCATCCCACAGGTACTATCTCCACGTATGACCAGATGGTGCGTCAAACTGAGTGCCTACGATTACACTCTGGTATACAGGCGAGGTTCGTGTCACCAGAACGCGGATGCACTTAGCAGACTGCCTCTACCAGGCAATGTAGACGAACCCTGCCTGCCGAGAGACGTGCTAATGTTGGCACTTTCTCCAATTCCTCAACTTTCACCTGAGCAGATTGCAGAAATGACAGGACAAGATTTTGACCCACGTGTACAAGGCTGTTCAAGAAGGACGCCTACAAAGTTTGAAGGGCGAAGACTATCGTCCATACAAGAGT